CTCCTCCTCCTCCTTCCCCTCCTTCGCCCTTGTGCGAGCGGGGAGACTTTGACTTGACCCCGCGGGTCTGGGTCGGGGAGAGCCCGTCCGTGGCCGAGGCTCGCAGTGGCCGGGGGAGCCCGTCCGTTCCTCGCACCGGCAGGAGGCCCCGGCCGCGGCCGCGGGCCCCGGCCACGCAGAGGGGGAGGAGGCCCTGCTGGAGGCAGCCGCTCCTCCCTCCTCCTCCCTCCTCCCTCTCCTCCTCCCTCCCTCCTCCCCCTTCCCTCCTCCTCTCCCTCCTCCTCCTCCTCCTTTTCCTCCCTCCTCCCTCCTCCTCCTCGATCCTTCCTCCTCGATCCTCCTCCTCCCCCCTCCTCCTCCTTCTCCTCCTGCTCCTCCTCCTCCTCTCCTTCTCCTCTCCCTCCTCCTACCTCCTCCTCCCTCCTCCCCCTCTTCCCCCTCTCCCTCCTCCTCCCTCCTCCTCTCTTCTCCTCCCTCCTCCTCCCTCCTCTTCCTCCTCCTCCGTCCTCCTCCTGGCCCAGGTGCCAGACCGCGGCGTCCCCTGGTGCCGCTTGGCGTTGTCGCTCGCGTTGCTCGCCGGGCTCGGGGCCTGCGCGGGGCGGCCAAGAGCCCAAATCCTCAAGTAGTGTGAGTCGGGCCTGTTCCTCGACAGGAGGGGATATCCAAACATAATCAAAACTGGTCAGGGGGCGTGTTTTTTGACTATGTATGGTTCTTCGGGGGGGTATCTTGTGATGACGTTTTATTTTTCACCCAAAAGCAGCCTGTAAGGGGAACATGCCCGACCTAAAAGTGGTGGCAGAAACCACCGCCGAAGTCGAAACGACATGAACCTGACGTATGGCTTCGTGAGCGCCAGCGCGTTGTGACTTACGAAGGGTTGTTGCCTCGAGGGTGCGAGTTCGACCAAACTTGCGAAGTATTGCGGCCTCGGGAGCGCGAGCGTGAAGTCGGGCATGTCCCTCTACAGGAGGATGATCCAAAAATAGTCGAACAATAATGTGGGGACGTTTTCGTTCAGTATTCCTCGACTAGTTTTGAATTTTTGTTGGTGTGTATTGTATTGTTTCTTCCAGATCCGCCTGTAGGGGGACACGCCGCATCTAAAGTAGTGGCGAGGCGTCCCGGCTTTCCTATTGGGCCCACCAGAGAATGTTCTGGAATATCCTCTTTTGAGGTTTGCACGACTTGTTCTCTGTACGCTGTCTAACGAGATTGCGTTGCACAGATCCGTTTCAGTCCTCCGCCTCATAATCTTTCTGGTTCTATGGATTGGGCCCTCCGAGGACTGCAGGCCATCTCTCCGTGGGCCCCCCTTCTGTCAGTCGCGCGCTGCCCCAAGTGCCGTTGCATCGCTAACTGCATTGTCAGCAGCGACATTGTGGAGCTTCTTGGCCGCCAATTGGAATGGCGCGGACCAGAACAACTGACGTGCGCGGCGTGCCCGAGCTGCCCTGTCCTGCAGTGCCCGGAGCCGACGTTCGACTGGGGCACCTTCCTCGTAGGTGCGGCCGTGGGAACTCTCGTCGTCGCGGTGGCAGCCCTCTGTGTCTGGAGGGTTTCGCGCGTGCTGACCCCAGGACTGGATGGTTGCACTCAGCCTAGCCGAGCGTGCCCTGCGCTGCCTGCAGAGCCTTCTGGTGGGGCCGAGGGTCCTCGCCTACAACGAGCCGCACGATGACTACTGGCATGAGCGGAGATCATGCTGGCCCACATCCAGGGCTACCGTTTCGTGGTGCGCACGACGAGGACATGTCGCATGCGCTGCGCTTGCTGCCGCCGGGCCCGCGCGGGGGGCTGCCCTTTCCAGCGCCGCGCGGGCAGACTCTGCGGGTGGACAACGCTCGTCTCACGGCGGAGCTGCCGCAGCTTTGCGACGAGGCTGCGCAGATGGCGGCGGAGATCCGGGCGGAGGAGGGCCTCCTCCCTGATCCGGCCGCCCCCGCAGCGCCGCTGGCCGACGCCGCGGCCCCGGCGGCGCTCGCGGCGGCCGCAGCCCCGGCGGCACCCGCGGCGGGCGTGCTGGTCCCCGGTGGCCCCGCGCCCGAGGCCGCAGCGGCTGCGGGCGGAGCCGCGGCGCCGGGCGTCCTGCGCGCTCCTCCAGGACGGCCCAAGAGGGCCCCAAGGACGCTCCAAGGGAAGCCCCGGAGGGGGAGCACGAAACAGCGTGTCGAGCCCTCGGCCCTAAGAAGCCTCCAGGAGGCGCCAAGAGGCAAAGGCCCTCGAGATAGCCCCCAGACGCCCCACGAGGCTTTCAAGAGCACTCCCAAGAGGGCCCCAAGAGGCAACATTCAGCGTTTTTCTTTTTAAGTGTTGGGGAGATTTTGGCGTCTCCTCCTTTTCGGCATCGCGACGCCCCAAGACGGCCCAAGCAAGAGGCCCCCAAGATCGCCCTAAGAGGCCCGAGAGGCGAGAGGCCCCCGTGTGGCTGGCGGCGGAGACGCGCGGCGCGGGCGCCCATCCCGCCCGAGCTCTTCATCGCGGCGGGGCAGCCGCAGGTGTTGCTGGGCGACAGCGGGCTTGTCCTCCTGGCGTCGGGGACCCCGCTCGCGGTGGCTGTGGCCAACGCGCTCGAGGCGGGCGCAGGGCAGATGTCCAGCAGCAGCTGCGACCTGCGGACGCTCCGGGTGCTCTACTCGGCGGCGCGCGGGCGCGCCAGGTCCGTCACGACGCAGCGGCGAAGATGTCGACCACGACCTTCGCCGATTGGCGCACCAAGGGGCCGCGGACCCGCCGCGTGGCTGCTCGAGGAGATTTTCGAGGCTGGCTACGCGCCGCTGCAGAGGCACATATGGTGGAGGTCTACACAAGGCCTCGCGGCTTCCGACGCGGGCGTGGACGATGCTTATTTTCTTTCGGAGGTGCTCCAGGAGCTCACCGCCCGCAGGCGAGCTTGTGGCGGCCGAGATCCTCTGCCGCCGCTGCCACCTCTGGGGGGGGGGGGCTCTACGCCTCTAGCTTGCGAGAGGCCGAGGCCGGCCAGGGCGCTGCGCCCTGGCTGGACGAGAGGTCGATCTTCCTCGGCCAGGACAGGGGCCGAGAGCCCGCGCTGGTCTGCCTAGCTTTGGAGAGCTGGGTCGCTGAGAAGCTCGAGGAGGAGTGCGCCATCCGCGGGGCGCGCAGGGAGGGGCGAGAAGACAGACTGCCGGGGCGCGGCGCCGACGCGGGCGCGGCCTCTGGCGACGCGCGGGCGGCTGCCCAGGCCGGGGGGCGCGGCCGCCGCGGCCGCGGGGCCTGATCTGGCCCGTCGCGCCGGGGGGGGGGCGACCTCGGCGCGAGTTTTCAGGGGGGGGCGAGGCGTGCCCGATGGCGATGGAGCCTCGCTGGGTCTTGGCAACGTCGGTCTCGTTCAAAGAGACGCGCTGCCCATCCCGCTTGGCTCGGAGGCGCTTCCGTGCTTGAATGGGTTCTCGGCCCTCGACTGCGACCTCTCGCTGGGGCGCAGCGCCGCGCTCTGCAGGCGCCAGGGGCGCTGGGCGCTGGAGAGCGTCGCGGCGCTCGACGAGCTGGGCGGAGGTGGGCGGGCGGCTAGCCGCGGTGAGCGCCTCAGCTTGGCGCAGAGCTGTGCGCTGCAGCGCCTGTCTGCGGTTTGCGCCGCGGTGCCGCCCAAGCCCGACGACTGCGCGAACCAGGAGGCGTCTCAGGCGCGTCTGGGGCTTCGACCTGGCCGCGCCGGCGAGGCGTCCCTTGGGGCGAGGGCCGGCTACCAGCGCGGGAAGGACTTTCTTCCCCCTGGCGGTGCAGGGCGGGTCGACCTCGCGCGGCTCTTGTCCGAGCATTTGCAGTCCGCGTTGGAGTCCCGGCAGGGGTTGTTGCGCTCGGGGCAGGATGCCACTGCGGCTCTGGAGGGGGCTAATGTCGCGTGTCACGTCGACAGCAAGCTGGCCCAGCGTGGCATTGACAGCGAGCTCTACGAGGCAGGGATCGTCGAAATTTTGGATATGAACCTGAGCGGAAGGAGGAGACCGGGATCTTCTCCGCGCCGCGCGAGGATGACAAGCTGCGGCTCATCTTTGACACCAGGAGGGCGAACTGTCACCTCAGGGCGCGCGAGCACGCGCGCTTGACCTCCGGCGACGCCCTTAGCAGCTTGGTGTGCGCTCCTGGCGAGCAGGCGCATTTGGCTGCTGGCGACGTGGAGGTCTGCCACTACCAGTGCGCGCTGCCTGGCTAGGCCAGGAACTACTCCTGCTTGCCGAGCGTGGCGGCCCGCATGCTGCCTGCTCGCCTGCGCTCGGCCCTGGGCCCAGAGTGCGCCGCTCGGTCCAGGACTACTTTTCGAGTGCGGGTCGTCCTCGTGGGGTGGAACTGGGCCGGCCACTTCGTGCAGTCAGCGCATCTGGACGCGTTGCCCCCAGTTTCCCCTGGCAACCACTGGCTGGTCGACAAGCAGCCGGGGTCGTGTCTCTCGGAGGGCGCGGGTGCCGCGAAGGTCTCGTAGATGGACAACTTTGCCGCCGTCAGCACCGGCCGCCCCACGGCCGTGCAGGTGGTGAGTGACTTGTTGGAGGCGCTCGCCAGTGAGGGGGCGAAGGCTTCCCTCGACTTGGATGTCGTGCTCCTTGGGTTCGCGCTGGCCTCCAAGTCCGCCAGGTAGCGCTCTGCGCCCGAGAAGTTCTGGAGGGCGCATGGCTGCGTTCAGCGCCTCCTGGGGCCTGGCAGGTGCGTCACGGGGCGCCAGCGGGAGAGGCTCGCGGGGCGCGTGGCGGCGCTGCTGCTGCTGCGGCGGGGGGCCTTAGCCTCCTCAGCTCGGTGTGCGTCTACGTCCGCGCGTCCTACGACAAGGCGCAGCCGCTGTGGCCCAGCTGCCGGCAGGAGCTCAGGTGGGTGCTGGCGCCGCTGCCCACGGTGTTTGCCGACGTGAAGAGGCTCTGGCATCGGAGGCGGGGGCCTTTGACGCCGCGCCGTGGGGCGCCGAGGTCTGCGCTGCGCGCTGGCCGCTTAGCGCTGTGCCTGCCACGGGCAGGCAGCCTGAGAAGCTGCGCTTCCGCGGGCCCCTGGCGCCCCTGGTGGCCCCGCGGGGTGCCGCCCTCGCGGCAGACGCGATCGAGCCCTCCGATCCGGTGGCGCTTGTTGCTGGGCCGCGCAGCGGGCTTTGCTGAGGTGGGCGCGGAGCTGTTGCGCGACGCGACGCGACCTGGGTCGCGGCTTTGGCATGCAGGTGGGGGCGCCGAAGTGCCATGGCTGTCTGTGCTCTGTCGCCATCTCCGTTGCTTGCAACCAGAGGGTCACGTTCAGACGGAGCCACTCGGAACTCAACCCCGCTGACGGCCCCTCAAGACGGTTCTAAACGATTGGTCCAGAGCCATTTTGGCCCAAGCGCGCCGCGGAGCTCGGGCGTGATCGTAGCGGGCGCCGCGATGGCGTCCGCGCGCTCCAGGCGACCCCGCCTCGCGGCCAGCCGAGCCTGCCAGAGCTGGGAGGCGCTTAGCTGACTGGTTGTTCACGCTGCAGAGCTGGGGCTGCCAGGCAAGACGGGCGAGATGGTCCGCGCGGCGGTGCTCGACCTCCCGCGGCAGCAGGCCCCGGCATGGGCCTTGGCGCGCCTGCGAGACACTCGCACAGGCTGCTGGCGCCCGCAGTGTGATTTCGACTACAGCCACCTCCTGCGGCGCTTTGGCCAGGCGATCGATGTTGCGGGGGCCGGCGGTTTAGCCGGCGCGCTCTACAGCCCCAGGCACGGCGGTGCCAGGCGCGATCGCCCGACGGGATGCCGCGCGTTGATGGAGGTGCAGCAGCGCGGAAACTGGCGCGCATTCAACAGCGTTCTTCGGTGCGACAAGCACGGGCGAGTGGCGATCGAGTGGATGAAGATCCCAGCAGCCCAGCAGCTGGGCATCGAGCGTTTGGCCGCTGGGCTCGACGACGCTTGTGCGCAGTCCTTGAGGCGGCGGTGATGAGCGGCAACGGCCGTGACTCCCGAGTGTTCATTGCGGTCTTCAGTGGCTCAGGGAACCTGGCGCGGCACCTTCGCAAAGCTGGGCATGCTGTCATCGAATAGGACTTATTGCCCGGGCAGGACTTCGACCTCGCCCAGCCTGGGCCCTGGGCAGTGCTGCGCGGGTGGATCGAGAGCTGCAAAGCGAGAGCAATTTTTAGGGGCGCGACCTGTGACTCTCTCTCGCAGGCTCGGCGAGGCGGGCCCGCATCTCGCGTGCCCAGGCGCCGGCGTGATGGCGCCCGCCATTTTGGCTTGCCCGATCTCTCTGCCCTGGGCCAGGCCAAGCTGGAGCTCGGGAACTTGCTGGCCTCGCGCGCCGGGCAGGCGTGGACGCTGCCCAGTAAATTCGGCATTCCCGTTGGTGAAGAGAATCCTTGCAGCAGCTGGCTGTGGCAGCTTCCTGACATAATTCGTAGACTACGCTCTCCTTTCCTTTGTGAAGCTTCTGTGAAGCCATCGTCGATCAGTGTGCTGCAGGGCGCCCGCTCCGTGTGCGCACCCAGTTTCAGTTCTTGCATTGCCGTCCTTCGCCTGCTCCCCTGTCTATGAACTGCCGCGGCCGTGGAGTGTGCGATTTCTCCCACCAGCCGCATCTTGAATTGTCTGGTAAAGAGAGGGGGCGCTGAGGTTTCGCGCGCGCCGAAAGGCCGCCTACCCTGACACAGTCTGCAAGCGGCTAGTCGCCATGTTTTCGCAAACCATCGACAGCAAAGTTGTCTCTCGGAAGTGGATGTTGCTTCACGGTTGAACTCGCGCAGCGCTTGCGGTTGGGATATGTGCACGGGGCCGTGGCTCATAAGTCTTCTTTGTTGTAGTTGGGCGGTCGCAGCCAGCAAAAGCTACCCTTTGCCAGGCTTCGTTCTTCAAGCAGCCTGCTGGAACAAAAAAAAAAAAACGCACGTAGGTTGTCTAGCGAGATCGCGCTGTGCAGATCCGTTTCAGTCCTCCGCCTCATAGTCTTCCTAGCTCCCAGGGGCAGCCCGTTGCCTCCAGAATTCCTGCGTTTCAAAGGGCGGTTGCAGCCAGTCTGAGCTACCCTGTGCCAGGCTTCGTTCTTCAAGCAGTTCACTGGAAAGAAGTGGGCGCGTGAACGTGCCTGGCTGAGACCGTCTTATTTGAACACTTCGGTTTTCTCTGTTCTATGCTTTTTATGCTTGATCTTTCTTTTCGATTCTAGGCAGATTTCGCGATAGGCCCATCGGAAAGCCGGGCCGGTCGATCTTTGCTCCAAAATCCCCGTCGCGTCGCGAAGGTCTTGAAATATTTTTGTCTTCCAGGCGCCCTTGCCAGGCCCCTGGGCCGCCGAGAATCACGGTGCCAACATCGCAGAGCCGAGCTCGTTCGGAAAATGATGGGATGGGCTCACATTGGCCTTGAGAATTTCGGTCCGGTCTTCGGAGGTAATTTCGTGTGGATTCCCTAGGCCCGGAATGAAAGCTAAAACACATCCACGTGACATTCACGTCGTGTTTCGGGGTTATGCATGTTGCCAGGAATCCACGCATCAATCCGCTGCAGCACGTCTGCAAGGCCGGTGCAGTGATAGGAAACGACTCGGGATGAGAAGCCTGTCCCGGAGAGCGGGTCGAGACCTCAGGGGGTCGACGTGATGAACAAACCATACCACAGGGCTCATTTCGATTCCTCCGATTCGATCCGATTCCGATGCCTTCCGGTCCCGATTCAATTCGACTTGGGACTCCGATTTGGGTTTTGATGTCTTTTTGGAGGCATGTTCGCCTGCCGATTTGTCGACATGTTCCGACTCGGTTGCCGATTTCCGCCGATCCGATCCAGTCCGATCGCCGATCCGTCTTATCGATTCGATTATGGGCTCTCCTGCACCACCGGCGGTCTGGGAGGGGGGCCTTCGGGGGCGGCCGCGGTCCCTGAGGTGCTGGCGCTGCATCTGTTTAGAGTCGGGCGTGTTTTTGTTGCATAACTTTGGGCCCCGGGGCCATGATGTCCACGTTACCCAGACCCCCTCGAGTAATGAAAAAATCATGACGGGAGGTTTTTCCTAATTTTCGGCCTCCAGGGGCCCTCACCAGCCCTCGGGGGCGTCAAAAACCGACTCGGGATGCAAAGCCGGTCCCGGGGAATGGGTCCAGATCTCTGGGGGTCGACGTCATGAAAAAATCATGACGTCGGGGGTCTGGGTAGTGCTGGCTCCTGGAAGCAGGGGGGGAGCAACCACCCGGCCCCGATAGTTGGCGTTCGCTAGACGGCCCTGTGCGTTTATTGAACAGCCTTGCCCTGTTCGGTTCCCTCTGTGGGTGCGTCTACTAAACGGCCTCGCTTCTCGGGGTGGTCATCGTGGGGGTGGATTTCTTGCCCTGGAGGAGGAGGAGGAAGAAGAGGAGGAGAACGAGGAGCAACAGAAGGAGGAGGAGAAGGTGGAGGAGCATGAGGAGCAAGAGGAGGAGGAGGAGGAGGAGGAGGAGGAGGAGGAGGAGGAGGAGGAGGAGGATAAAGAGGAGGAGGAGGAGGAGGAGGAGGAGGAGGACGACGAAGGGACGGCCGCGGAAGGTGTTCTGGCCTCGGGGCGCTGTCCACAAGCCGCGCCTCGTCGGGAGCTTGCCGGGGGGGCCCCGATCGACCCGCACGGCCGCCGGAGGACGGGGCGTTGGCCCGAAAGCCACCGGGCGTCGAGGGGGGTCATGGCCGAGGGGGTGCGTTCAGGTCGTAGCGTGGCTCCCGGCAGGCGGATGTTTGGAAGAAGCGTTAAAGATAGCCAAAGAGAAACGCAAGCATTGTCAGAAACAGTTGGGAAGTCGTCCCTGGGTTATTTCTGACGGTTTTTGTATATTCCTCCTGTAGAGGGACATGCCCGACTCAAGGGCGTGTGTGGATATAATGGCCCGGGCCATGATACCGCCCCAGCTTTCCCCCCTATTCTTTCAAGACGTTCCCCTGGCCCTCTCCTCTCGAAGAAGAAAAGACTCTGTAAACAGAAACTTGTGGCGTTTCGCGCGGATATCTTGTATCCGCGTTGGGGCCCCTGGCGGCGATTCCGGCGCCGCTCCTTGCGCGCTCCGCGCGCCAGGGAGGGGGGCACGACGCGGATCCAAGAAATCCGCTCGGAGCGCCAAAAGTTTATGTTTATGTGTTTTGTCTTTCTTTATCCTCGTCCGCGCACGAGCCGTCTGGCCACGACCTGCGACTCACCCCCCCCGCTTGGACGCCCCCCCTTTTTCTCG